GTGGTAGCTCATAGAAAAACAAGCACTTTGCTTGAGTAAATATAACATTTGAATATCTGATTCATCGAATCTAAGTTGATATATATAAATATAAACATAATTTGACATATATATACATAAGTTGACATAAATAAATAATAACATAAATTGATACATATTTCACTAATTAAATTTCTATATTTTAACTAGCACATATTTAATTATGACATACATTGAAGTTCATTCGAATACATTGTGGTAGCCATAAAAAAAAATCAAGCCGTTCGCTTGTGAAATAATAAAACAATGAAAAATTCAATATGACAAATTGACGTTTTTACATAACATTAGAAATATTGATTGTAGACTTTAATTTAAAATAAAGATATAACATGATTTGATATGTACAATAATTGATTTTTGAAAAATGAAGAACATAATTGATGAATATAGATAAATTATACCTTGATTCATGATAAAATAACATATTTGGAGAAAATGCAGTAAATATATTTTATCAGAGAAATATTGCTCATTAAATGCAATAGAATTTGCAAAAGAATTAAACGTGCATAGGTTGATAAATATATATGCATAAATTGGCTATATTATCAGAAAATAAATTGGAATGTAAATTAATTTAACTTAAGTAAAAGTCTGCCGTGAAAAGTTCAGTGAATTTAACTTAAGAATCTTGAAAACAAAAATAGAACTTACTGGGATTGAGATGTTTCCCCGATGATCCCCCGCAGAAGGCGGAGCACTACTTCATTTGTCAGTAATTCCTGTAATTCTTTGATTAATGACACTAAACGGTGAGCAAGTTTAGGCGTCGAATTTGATGTTGCTCGATGGCTCCTTCTGCTGGGGCGGGTTTCGCACCCAGTAAAGTTGGCTGTGTGGTTTTTGTAACAATTACAGCATTTTGGAGGAGTTGTTCCGTCTTGTTGCATTCATGAGACCTGTGGTTTTAAGCGCATTTTACACAACTTGCAGGTGCATTGCAGTGGCTTTGCGTATGTCCATAATTTTGGCAGTTGTAACATTGTATGGGTCCTCGATCTCCTCGATATCGTTCGACTTTGATTGGGATCTGCTGTATGTTGTTAACTTCGAATACTCTATAGTGATTCGCCGTTGATGTTGGGATTATGAGAAAAAGGTTTAAAAAAAATTATATTATGACACTCCACAAAATTAACTACGTAAAAGAAATTTCATACTGGTAACAAAAATTACATTTGTATATTAACACATTAAAAAAATAAGAAGCATTATTCACATATAAAAAAATTTGAAAATAGTGATTTCGTGTTATATTTTCTTTCATATTTACAATTTAAATAACTGTAGAAGTCCATCCCACAAAATGACATACGGCATCTGTATCACACAATGCATGGAAACATTGTTCGCTGAAGTTGTATCTATTACATTGGTGATTTCCCTAGCAGGAATGTTGGGATTTGGCCCAGATTTTTCTAGCCATGAAAATATAAGAAAAAGCCATGAATTTTCGGTGCTGTTGATATTTAAAGAGGGGTTTTGAAAGGGAGTTGGTTGCAAGGATATTCTTATCTTAATGAAACGTCATTCAATTGATAAAATTTAGAGATATTGATTCACTGAAAGGATGGCGCCACTCTGAGGCAGGGAATTTTTGGGACTCTTAATGCGTACTTCATCTACGAATTATTGCCCATTAATTTCAGAAAATAATCTTTTATCTGACCTTATTTGGTTTATCTTGACTTTTTATGGCTTTATGTGAGAGACCGACGTCTATATCTTAAGCTTGATAAGAAACATCTGTTTTAAGCTTATCAGTTAGTATAGAAAGACTCTTATAAAAATAATCTTGAATTTCTTGATCGC